TTTGCAGTAGTAATCCTTTACTTTACTTGACAAAAGTAATCAAATCTCTGGTTGCCAAACTGGTGACAAGCACAAACATTTTCTGGAAACGCTGCCACTGTGGCCACAGCTACAGAAAAGAAAGGGAAGTCAGCAGAAACGGAAAATCTTCAGCTGGAAAACTACCTGGAGGTGCCTCATCTGTCTCAGCCGCAGAACAGCAGAGCAGCACCTGCTTTGTGCAACACCCACTATTACAGCACTGTGATTAGTAATATTACTGTGCTGAGTGATTTGGGTTTGATAGGTGTTACTTTATGAGTGCTTTCAAGAGCTGCATGCAAGGTAATGTAACTCTAAAATTAGGTTAACAAGTCAAATTTTAAGTCAAATGTAACAACATAAACAAAAAAGCTGTTTTAATTCCGTGAAGAATTTGCTGTTTGTTTCACACACTATATGATGGAGTGTGATTTTTATGCATTCATATCTATCAAGTATTGCCAAAAAGAGACAAAAAACATGCACAGTCTGCATGTGTCCTCCCATGGCGTCAGCTAAATCTACATTTGACTTTTGAGCTGATGGGGAATCCTTCTAAAGCAGATGAAGCTAATGATATGAATCATATCAATGCCACATATTCCAGACAGATTTCCAGTGTTTACGATAAGATTACTACAAGCTCCTGCTTGGGTCGGTGGGTAAAAGACTGTGTGCACAATGAAAGTTTAAAAAAATCACATGATCCTAAAATTCAGCACATCTCCATCTTCTCCATCTGCTGTAGTGAAACATTCTCATTAAGAACTACACACTGAGTACAGCAGAGAGAGAAAGAGAGAGCAAGAAAGCAGAGGAAAAACCAGCCATTTCACTCCTCCTCAGGTCATCATTACAGCGCATCAGGACAGCTGCTACCATGGAAACCTCCAGAGAGCAGAGCGTAGAAATACTTGTTGGTCGCAAAAATCAAAAGCCAAACTGTCTGCATCTAGGCAGTTTGTTTCAGACTCTATTTATTTATTTATTTTTACCAACTTTAACTTATTTTTAATTTCTAATCTTTCCTTTCTGTAACAGGGGGGAAAGTCTCAGAGGTGCTGTTGATGTCATTAGCTCCATAGATAGATGGATCCACAAGCTAGACACATTGGAGCTCTTTCGGATGAAGGGAAAACTGATTTTGTGAGTTTTCCTCTCATTTGTTGCCCTTCTCGCATCCTTATACTTGTACTGTCTGTATTTTCAGTCCTGTGATATTAAGTTGAAGTCTATATTGTTTTCTGTTTACAACTATCATGTGTTAGATGGCTCACCTGATGCTTTGATATGATGATGATCTGATCTGATAGAGTGCGTCATTTTTAATGTTTTAAAGCTTATCTGTTTGGTTTTGTTAAGGGTTATAATTAGGGACATGGCTGCAATGATTAACAGGTGTGTTAACACATGTAGATGTAGCTACCATATTTTCCGCACTATAAGGCGCACTTACATCCTTTAATTTTCTCAAAAATCAACAGTGCGCCTTATGCATGAATTCTGGTTGTGCTTACTGACCTCGAACTGATTTTTTGTGACACATGGCGCTCAGAAATCTGTCAAAAAATGTTTTAGTACGTCTTTGGAAAGCTACAAAGCTGCACTGCTTGATGGATTGTCAGAGCATTATGGCTACTGTAGTCAGGAGCCTCACTGATTAATCTGGGTCCTAAACTCCGTCCACTTCAGGTCCCAAAGTCAAACGAACACAGCAGCATCACTGAGAGTTAAAAACTGTCTAAATTCTTTCATCTTTAATAAAATGATCAGTGTTGCTGCTCTTCCAGGTGTAACAAGTTTAACGTCCAGGCATCCATGAAAATAGAATTTATTAAATTTAACAGAATTAGAAGTTAGCAGGAAGTTAGCTCGCTAGTTTCCACCTAAACATGATATAGCATGTTCTGACTGAGAGATTTCTGAAAAAATTAAAACGTACAGCTTTGCTATCACTTCCAACATCAATGAAGACAGAAAACTAAACAGCAGTGACTTTTGTAGGGTTACTGAAGTTGGGCTAGCTGGTATATAATGATTTGCTACGCGATCGCTAGCGACACAGCTATGTTAGCATAACATAAACACAGTGAAGTTGGAAGATGAATGCTAACTTTTTTCTACTCGTTAATGGGAGGGTTCCCGATGGTTAGGGACAAACGCAATCACAACGCAGGATGCTGTAAACAAACCAAACTTCATCCACAATACGAGGTTAGTCGAGGTTAGTATTAATTACTGCAACAACATGGGACTAGGAGCAGCTGCAAGAGAATTCATCGTTAATGAATCAATGGTACAGAAGTGGAGGAGGCAAGAAGAATGAGTTGAGTAAAGTTTGACTTATCTGACTGTCTGTTTTGCTTTATGTGCCTTATAATCCCGTGCACCTTATGTACGGTAACACTTTGGATAATTGAAGTGACTAAATTGGACCTCTACACCATGCTTGTGCTTTTGGTCCCTTTTAGTAGAATTTTTAATTGAGTTTTCTGAGCCCAAGAATCACAAGATGTAGTTTATACATTTCAAACTTTAAAGGGCTGTGTCCCTCTGAAAGTCTTGCAGGATGTTGGTGTTCTGGCAACTGTAAACATACGTATCAAGCCAAATCCCACCTTAGATTCATTCATTCATAAATTGTCTGAAATCCTGTTCAGTTATCCAATGACAAATGTCTGACTATATGTTATGTTGTATCTTTTCCACTGTGCGGCTCTGATGAAGACACAGTTGTAGTGACGCACATTGAAAGGCTGTAAGCAGTGTGTGCTCCAGTCCCGTCTGTCCTTTCGGACAATTATCTCAATTTGAATTATATAATGTGATTTGGTATTTAGTTGGATATGTAAACTGTAGTTTAGGCAAAATAAAAGCAGATCAGAGGTTCTACAATTCAGAAAGCTCATCTTGCATCTTGCTTTGTGTGGTTTTTGTTTTTTAAATCCAGGCTTGATTGGATATAAAAAGATCAGGATTCATGATAACCATTTATCAGTAGATGTTCATTTTAACAGTCAACCATTCCCAGTTAAATTTGGCATCAAGAATTCAAACTGATCAGTGTAAGCAGGGTTTTGATTCAGAAGGTTCACTCCTCACAAGATTACCACATAGAAAGTAATGTGACCGTTGACTCTAGAATGCTCCTGATGTTTTAGGGGAGCAAGAAACATTTCAATAACTTACTACATATGAATTCAGAAAGAAATATTGTAACTGAAACTAAGGCTGACAGTTTAAATTCATACCATTTACAATCTGCAATATTGACTAAGAAGTTAGCTAAGTTAATCAATAAAAATAGAAAACAACTGTGACCAGTGCTGCACTGATCAGATACTCATGAAATACTCAGAAAGTAGAGGCATTCTTCAGCACACAGGGCAAAATGACCAACAAAGGTTATCTGGAGTCTTATCTTACACTTCAGTCACAGCAAATCCAGGGACTAACTAAATTAAGCTAAACACTATACCGATATTTCAGCAATTCATTAAAGGGCATCAAATAAAAACAGTTATTAACTTAGCTTCTGTCGTCCTGCACTGTTGTTTTTTGTTAACCGAACACAATCCTGCTCATAAAAAGTTGTCTGTGTCCAGGGATCCAAATTCAATACAAAATAAGGAAAAGAGTTGCCTCATGCCACAAATCTCATAGACTTGAAAATTAAACTACTAGGCATTCAAATCCAGACTACAGAGAACCAAAAAGTGAGGAAGCTTTCATTTACACTACTAAGGTCATCTTCAAATACTCATTATCGCAGATCTCAGATCAGCCAATCACATGAAAGCAATTTAATACATTTAGGCATGAGGATATGCTGAGGCTTAAACCAAGAATCAAAAAGGGGAAGAAAAGTGATTCGAGTGCCAGCCCACATTTAAAGTCAGCTGTTTCATTTCCAGTACTCATCTGAGTATTTTAGAACCTGCTGATCTACTGGGATTTTCCCACACAACACCTCTAATGGTGTCGAAGTATGCACAAGAGCATCTCTGAACAAGCAACACACGCAGAACCAGATGGGCTACAGCAGTAGAAGATCACCCCAGGTGCCACTCCTGTAAGCTGAGATATCAGAAGATCAGAAAAAAATCTTGCCTGGTCTGATGAATCCTGATTTCTGTTGCAACATTCAGGTCAGAATTTGTGGTAAACACGATCAAAGCATGGATCCATGCAGGCTGCTGCTGCTGATGTAATGGTGTGGGTATTTTCTTGGTACACTTTAGTACCCTCAGTACTAACTGAGCATTGTTTAAACACCACAGTGTACGAGTATTATTGCTGACCATGTCCATATGACCACGGTCTACCTATCGTCTGTCAATGTGCCACAAAGCTCAGATTATCCCTGCACTTGAATTGCCTCCACAGTCAACAGATCTCAATCCAATAGAGCATCTTTGGAATGGGAGATTCACATCATGGACGAGCATGTCAATGTGGACCATTTATAACTCTCTGAGGAATGTTTAGCGCACCTTCTTGCCTTGTCCATTAATGGCAGTAAGAACAAGAGACCTGTGTTGTAGTTCACAGTGACGTTATGCAGATTTACAAGATGACTGCAGTGGATTCCATCAACAATAAATCAGCATGCATGCACAACAAACTGTGCATCCTAATATGTGATAAAGCAGTTTTTTTGTAATTTAAACCAAACTAAACTTGAGAATAATCTAAGGCACGTAAAATGTGAAAGTGACCTTAGCTGCACAGTAACAAAGAGCAGCTGCAGAGATTTGTCTGGATCACCACCTGAGGGACAGTTTTCCAAAACACATTATCAACACAGCTTGACGTGGCGAAAAATCAGGCTGGTTCTGCATCAACTCTTTAGCCATTTGTTTGTGGAAACAAACAGAAAGAAAGAAAATATGGCATGTCAAAGTGATTGGACAGGGTCTATTCATCATACACCTGCAAAACCAAGACGAAAAGACAGGAAAGATAAACTTCTGACTCACTGTTGTGCTGCAGCTGCTCACGTCTGATGGCCCCTGTGGAGACAAAGACAGAATTCCTCATTAGTTTTATTGGTCCTGTGTTTAGGTTTTACCACTGTCCTAATGAATTAAATGTGCTGAGATCTCGTCAGGTTTCAGCCATGACATCATCTCAACAATCCCCCGAAGCAAGGCAGTGCCTGTCTGAATGTTAATGTGTGTGTATGATGGATTCAAGACTCGCAGAGGTGAGCAGCTAATAAAACCGCTGCACAATTTACTGCACGAAGGCGCAAGAGTTCTGTGCACATACACACGCATACGCCGAGCACCAGCTGGGCTTTGCTGACCTTTCTAAAGAAAGGCTAAGCTTTAGAAGCCCACAGAGAAACAAAAGCAGGAAAACTGTGTCAAAAGAAACAGCGCAAAGCTGATCGGATCTTGATGACAGATTGTGCAGCCCGCAGACAAAAGGTCACTTCAGCTAAATCATCTCACTAACAAAAAGGAATTGGCCAGTAACAAAGAGCAATGAATGACATCAAACAGGATTTATTTTTATCATAAAGTGTAACAGGCTTGTAAAGTGTACTAACTGACGATGGGGAAACCACACTGCCTGCTGCTAAATTATACAGAATCATTATTCAGTGTAAAAGACAAAGGATGTGTAAAATCACAGTTTAATACTGTAATTTTAAACTGACGTCTAACTTCAGCTGTCTAAACTATCCAAAGGTATTCCCCAAAGACTCACTTTACTAAAGAAGAATAAAAGCTCCTCATATTGATGCAGAGATGAAAGAAGTACCAGTAAAAATACTTATACTACTAATTATTATCATTCAATGAAAGCCACTATGTTTTCGCTGCCACTGTGTGGATAAGTGAGGTGAGTCTTTTTCAGGTGAATTATTATTTTTAAGAGATTTTCAGCCATTCCTTCAGCTTTTGGAAGGCCAGCGTTTTTCCCAGATACTTTTTTAAGATCCTCTGGCTTCAAGTTTGGAAATTTGTCTGGGAGACCTACTTGCTCATTTATATCAGCAGGGTCCAGGCAGCTGAGGTAACTAGATCAGATTCCCTCATCAGTCCCAACTTCTCCACCAATGCTAAGCACTGGCCATTTGATTTATTGTTTTGTTGTGATTTAATTCAGTGCAAAAAGAAACACCAGGAGTTGCAGTTAAATCTTCATTAGCAACGCTGTTGCCATCACATTCCTTCAATATCAAAGACAAGGGTGCTTTCCACTAAACCTGACAACCAGGTGCAGCATCATCCTGTTACTGTGACAATAAAGCTAATTAAACTTGCATTATTGTAACAGTGACAACAACATCATCCCATATGCCAAAAAAACAACTGTCATTGTCACACATCTACAGTTGGTAGATTAAAACAAAGAAACAATATTTTAAAGTCAGTTTTAGCAGAAAAACATTTCTTTAAAAAAAAGAACAACATTTGCAGGCATAAGGCTATTAAGATGGGCCTATGATAGCAGCTAAGAGCAGATTTTATCTTTACACTTTCTCTCTCACTGCTTTCAATTGTAATATGTATAAAAGGCTCCACTCCCTTGAAATGCTGAATACATCCTCTTGCTTCAGCTCCATGTTTACTGCTTCAGTATGTAGCTGGTTATTTATCATCTCTTTAGCAGTGTAATCATGCAAAGCTACGATCAAACAAACAAACAACTATCAGTTAGGTATCATCTAAAATGTAAAAAGAAATATGACATGATGTAAAGTGCTGAGATGTTCTGTTACTAGCTGAATGGGAAAAGTGTAGGTACGTTGTTTTTAAAGACAATAAAGCATTAAATGTGTTGCTGGGTGATGGTTGTAGCACAGTCTGTAAACAGAAAGTGAGCGATCGCTGTTTAATGTTCAGCCAAGTGAAGAGTACAGCGCGTGAGTGCCAGAGCAGGCCATATGGCAAAGACACTCCCACGCCAAAGCAGTCTAGACTGGAATGAACCAGTCCATCTTCCAGCAGCTCCTGTCCACATACAGACACAATCATTATGGTTCTGTTTCACAGTGACCAGTTTAAAGTGAAAACTATTAAATTATTTTCAATATATATTTTTTTTCTTTCAGTTCTTTTACCCTCCAATTATTACAAGCAGTGAAAACAAAGCTCAACTGAACTGAAACTGGAACGCAGAAAATAAAGGTGTGGAAATGACATCACTTACCTTAGCTAAATTACTGGTAACACCCCTGAACAGCAGGTGTGCTGTTAACCTTTCCCCCCTCTCGCTCTGTCTTTGCTCTTGTTTCTCACTAAAGCTTTAATACTTTTATTTCTTTACTGCCGGTCCCCGATGTTTTATTTATCTCATTGTTTTCACTCCCTCATCACCTCAGCACCACCAAACTGACTGATATGCAAATAACGAATAAATCTGCATATCAATTAACAACATCATCTCCTCACCAAGCATTCTCATTGCATGTACGAAAAGGAGGGTGATGCATGTGGATCATATGAGGGATGTATTAGAAATTCGGGGTGGGGGGGGGGGGGGGGGGGGGGGGGGTATTCATGTTCCTCAAACTATATTTTAGAAGCAGTAAAATGTCAAAATGTAAGAATTATTTATTTAGTTTTGTAATTATAGGATTAACAGCGACTTCAGCTATACAGCATTTTAAAATGGATTTAGTGCAATGTTGCAATATATAGTTTTAATGCCTAAATGTAGACACAGTGATACAGAAATGTGTCAGGTTAATATTTACAATAGCATAATGGTGTTGCAGGAATGCTTTGGTTTTGATTGCAGCTGTTCTGCAGATGAAGGTTTAAGCCCTTCTTCCAACTTTCCAAAGCTGTCCCATGGATGAGACTGAAGTTTTTTGTGTTTGACACCCCTGTGTGAAGATGTACTAACATTTTAAAAACTATTCTTTTAAAGGGGGACCTTTTCTGCTCATCTTCTAACTCCATATACTTATTCTTGGACTTTCTTTTTCAGGGTAGCTTTTCATAGTTTAAATTAGTAGTTATTTATCCAAAACTGGGCCTTAGTGGAGCACATTAGTTCCGTTACCAATTTCTTTGGCATCACACAGACTACAGAGTAGAATAAATCTCTTACAGCCTGAGCACTGCACCCAGAGTTAGTGCTTACACACCCACTGATCTCATCATTTGAACCTTGTTTCAGTTGGCCACGTTTTACGGGAGCATCCACCTTTTGTGTCTCATGTATTCTACGGTTTTCTACACCACATCTCTGCATGGTATGTTACTGTAAAGCTCAGCATTTACTTTGTTTTTTGAGTTTTTGTGGGCACCCAGTGCTAACTGTGACATGTGAATGCCTAACCTGCCTGACCCTTACCCAACCTAAAATCCAGTTATTATCCTTAAATCTCAAACAGCGTTTAAAGTTGTAGATCTCTACAAAACCATCGGACTCAACCAGTATGGAGGCTCCATGTGTTTGTGGGGTTTCAGGATCCCACAAATACAAAAGAAAAAAAAGAAAAACCAAAGCCTATAGAAAAGACACATTCACATGATTACACACTGAGCTGCACAAAGACCTATATGAGTTGTTGCATCGGTCTTCATCTTCTCATTTGCAACCCTGCAGTGCAATTGATTCCTGTTGGCTTAGGTGTAATATAAATAGATACATCTGTGTGGAGGCTATAAAAAGAAGAAGAGATGTTGACATCTATAATGCTGTGAACATTTTGCGGTACTATGTCTCACAGTGATTGGGAACATCACAGCAGTTTGACAGTTATGGCAAATACATATCTGATCTTGCAGCAAAATATTGACGTGTTTTGTTTTGGCACCGGTAGCTTTTGGTCAAGTGTAGAAAAAAACAATCCAGCGGTGGGAATGGACATCAAGGCTATTAAGGTGCTGAATAAATGCAGTGTATTTCTCACTGACCATGATCAGAGTTAGTGCTTACACGCCCACTGATCTCATCATTTAAACGTTATTTCATTTGGCCACGTTTTACAGGAGCATCCACCTTTTAAGTCTCATGAGACAACAGAGAAAGCACAATAGGTCCTCATTAAAGGATTAAAAGAACAAAATGTACTTATATTATGAAAGAACCAAAAAAACAAAACAAAACCCTGAACTTTAAAATTGTCCATGCATCACAACAGGCAGTGAAACATATTATACTATCTAACTCTCATCCACTTATTCTATTTTCAAACTTGAGTGCAGTCTGGTTCATTTATAAAATGGTTAGCAGCAGCAGAAGATTTAAATCGGGCCAGTCTAGCAGTCCAAAACTTTGGCAATTACTGAATTTGAACTGCAGCAGACATTCGAAGCATTTAGCCAACTTCAAATACTGAACCTCATTCATAATTATAATACACTTCCCTTCTCAGTAGTGCAGAAAGACCAGCAAAATGTGAAATCAGACATGTTTAATCTGGTAGGAATGAATTCATTCAGCCAAATGAGAAATCCAAGTAAGTGCCGGTCTTCCCTCTAAAGCAAACCTCCAGGTCTCTGCCGACCGACCTCTCTATTCATCACACACCACCGTAGTCGCACTGGCTGTTCTCTCCTGAAACAAAGCACAGCAACCATTTGTGTGTTTTGTGTGAGCTTCTGCTTTATGGCCCCTTTGCTTTGCCTTGATCAATCAAACAGGCGTGGTGAGCAGCAGGGTGAGCGGGGAGCGCTCTGTAGTGGAGGATGGGGCGATGTTCCCGCATCCCACCTATTGGCACAATCCGTGTTCCGGCAAGCCCTCGTATAAATCACTGTTAATGACACCAGAGAGAAGAGGAGGAAAAGGGAGCAGTTAGGCTAAATAATCTGCACAGTGCTCCTCAGGATGTTGCTTTTGGAGAGTTCATGAGAATTTCACCTGCCTATGGAGAGAGCGAGGAAAAGCAGCCAGACGGCAGTCTTTCCAGGCTCGTGTGGAGGCTCAACGTGGTTTTAATTTCTTTAATTGAGCCTTTATTAAACCATTGGAGCCCCACAAAGTCCATTTCCACCCACATGTTTCTCCAGTGGGTTTGGAAACTTTGACAAAATCCTGAAAT